TGGAATTTCAACAGCTGCAGTCCATGCTCAGATATATTGTACACATCTAGGGGTAACCCTGCTAAGGTGGGCAGCTTTGAAGAACTCTTATGGCCAACTTCAGATCCCCCTGCTAAGGTGGGCAGCTTTGAAGAACTCTTATGGCCAACTTCAGATCCTGTTAGCATTGGCAATGATTTTTTAATTTTCTGATTAAGATGATTTGTCACGGTTTTACCAAAGTGTTCCCACTCCTGATGAGACGTGCAGTGAAAGCACTGCAGCGTTTGCAGCCACGGTCTGAATTTGGAGCTGTTGTGAATGTGTTTAGCTCCTGCTTATCGGTGTCTCCGTTGTGCACCTTCTCACGTAGTTGTCCCAGTGGAAACCATCGCAGTCAGTGCAACTGCACCTGTAATAAGAATTTTGGAAAAGCCACCGTGTAATGTTGACAAGGAAAACTATTCTGAAATGGATCATACAGTGCTGGAATAAGGAACAAATGAGAAATATTTGCATAAAATCCTGTTGTTCTACATCGGTGATTGGTAGGAAGGTTTTCCTAGGAGTTTTTCCTTGCGTATAGCACTGGTGTGGACAGTTCAGCCCCTGCCTTCCCTCCGCGCCCTCGCACACCGCGGGGTTTGCTGTGGGCAGGCTCCCGGAGCCGCAGCCCCATTCTGTGCCTGGCTGGAGCCTCGGGCCAGCTTGGAGCCACGCGCCCACCCCAGGGCTGGGAGGAGGACAGTCCCTCTTCATCTCCCATCATCCGTGCCCCATCCCCGAGGTGAGCTCGGAGCCAGGCCAGGACGTGAGCAGGTCTTGCCAAGCTCCCCTTGGATTTTGGGTGAGTAAGACTGCTCCTGGCTCGGGTGAGGCCAACCACGCCATTGCTCCACTCTCGATTTCTGGCTGATGTAGGTAGTTCTTGTCTTTTCCTTAGGAGAGTCACCTCCTCCAAGCTGAGCTCTGCCACAGGGCTTGAGGTGGGTAAAGCTTCTCAGCCCGATTTCTGAGGATTGAGCTCAAATCCACACGGAGCCCACTGGAGTTGAATTCCATTAGCTCTCCTAGCCCTGTATTGGTTTGAAACCAATTTCAAGATTTGAAATCCCATAAGCCCATAAGCCCTATCTTAGCACCTACCCAGTTCCTGGGAAACATCTCTGTGTACGGTGATACCGTGGCAATGAGCATAACTGCCTCTTGTCCTCAGAGCAGCTTGGTCTGTAGGAGACATCATTTGGCTCCGACTGCTGTGCTTCAGTGAATAATCATTTATATAATAATGTATCTGTGCATTTATTTTCTGCGGTGGCTATTACTAATGGCGTGCGGCGCTTAAGGAAAACCTACAGTGACTAAGAAATCCATCACCCGCCGACAATAACATTTGGTGCTGGGAGTGTCGAGCACTCTGCAGGCTGGGGAGCCCCGGCCCCACCTGCCCACCCCCCCCGAGAGCTCCGTGTCTCGGGGTAGGGGCGCGTACAGGCACTTTGGGAACAGCCGGAGCTCACCATGCCGGCCGCCCTGTCTGAAGTTGGGGACATTTCTTTTTTTTCCAGTGAAAAGCAAAATTAATTTCCATTAAAAAAAAATAATCACTAAACCCAATATGACATTTTCGATCGCCTTTCCTCCCGCGGAGCTGTAGCGGCTGATGCCCGTGTGTGTGTGCCACCATCTCCGGGGCAGGGGGGACTGTCCGGCTCCGCGGCCGCGAAGGGGAGTGTGTTCCCCCCCCGCCCCCGAATCCGCGGAGCGGCTGCCCCCCCG